TAAAAACGTGAAAAAGAAAGGTTTCACAACAGAAAGAAATAAAAATTAGAACAGCCCATAAACAACCACAAAAATTAACAAACAAGGGCGTGAGTCCACCTGTCCGAAGAATATTGGCTGTTTTAACCCTAAATGTGCGTAATTTTAAAACAAAGTACAGGACATTACATGTAAATTATGGAATCACACACCTGCCAGTGTCAGTACATGTAATCGGTTCTGGTGGAACGTACGCTCTAACATACACATTTAAATATATATATATACATGTATATATATATTTAGAATCTAATGAGAGTAGGAACATCAAACTAAATGACGTTACACTATACAATATCCCCCCCCCCCTTTTTTTCACCAACAAAAAAAAATTGATAGAAAAACAACACATCAGAACAATAACAAGAAAGAAAAAAATACACACTAACAAAATAAAACACCACAAAGAGGGAAAAATAAAAGTAACTGTAACGTATTCAACAAATCAACGAGGTGAAAACAAGTGAGAAAGAGACGAAGTGAAGCTAGGTGAACTTTCTTTTTAAAGTAAAAAGGTTCGGTTTCTTTCTTTTTTTCTTTAAAAAATTTTTTATTTGACTTTCATTCCCCGATTCGGCGACCAAAAAATGCCAAAAAATCGAGCCAAGATTGATTGGTTGCGGCTGCGACAAACGCAGATGCTAGTTCTATGTGTCGTTATCAATAATCAATAACCCTCCATAGATCTAGATCTAGACAGCACACGAGTGAACACAACACATTAAGTTTAAGAGCAGCACCCTTCATAGGCAACACGTCATATCTGTAGCGAAAAACTGTTTGGAACTGTAGCATTTCTTTATATAAATATATTTACTGCGGACATTTTTTGGACCGATTGAACCATATTGTATACGAACAATCTTTGGTAGGCCTATACTATAATTATAGATCTATAATAATATCCGAAATTTGCGGGAAAGGATGTGATTTCAGAGTGTTCGGCGAAATAGTGCCTAGCTTTATTTTCCCGAACGTTCGGAGAAATAGTGCCTAGCTTTATTTTCCCGAACGTTCAGAGAAATAGTGCCGGCCAAAAAATAATGGTTTGACTTCAAGGGCAGACGCACTGTCACTTCGGCCATCAGAACTTCCGATAACGATGTGCAGATTAAGCTTGATATTTTACACACGGTGACACGGCATTTTATTTAGCACTGGCGCTAATCGCGGCGTTGCAAACCTAATAGGCACTTCCTTGTCATTATTAATCAAAAAAAAAATCATAAATGCTGGAAATATTTAGATCTAGATCTAGATATCTAGATCTAGAACTATCTAGATATATATAGACCTAGACTTCTAGATCTAGATTAAAAAGGGCCAGAAGTCGGAACGGATGTCATGTTGGACTCAATTCAGAGTCCGAATATAATTTTTGTCTTGGCCTATTCGGATTCGAGTCCGAATAGTCACATCGTTTTAAAAAATCTGGGGGGTTACAGTCAGTCGAGTCGGGGGGGGGGGGGCCATGCCCCCCTGTTTTGACCCAAGGACTACTTTGGTTTTCCAGTTGGGTTTGAGTTTGAAATAGACTAGATCTAGCCTAGATCTAGAATCTAGATCTAGATATACCTTAATTCCCACAACTCATGACTCATACATAGTCAGTTCGGCACTAGATCTACTTGGATATGGTGGTCCCGACTTTTGTGACAGGGAAAATCTAGAATCTAGTTTTGACCCCAACGACGATTACTTCTGGTTCTAAGTCTAAACGATTACTTTTTCAACAACTTTTTGTTTCGCGTGCCGATATGGAGAGATAGCCTTTCAAACCTAAAAGCCAAAGCAAAACATCAAATCGTCGTCTAATTCAGGGGGGCATGCCCCCCTCACCCTGAAACACTCCATGTTTTTTTTTTGGCCACCTCTATTCTCACCCGGGGTGAGAATAGTGCAGGCGAGTCTTTTGGCTATTCTCACCAGGTGCGCGTTCACTGTTATAGCCTAGCTAGATCTAGGCCAACAAATTTTGCGTTCACCCTAAACCACAGAATTCTACACTGTGATAACAGAAAAATTGTAGAAATCTGTGCCGTGAACAAACGTTCCATTACAACTGTAGCCTACTAAAAGCGTACAATTTTGTCTGTGGGCAGTGGAGAGAGAGAGAGAAAAAGAGAGAGAGAGAGGGGAGTAGCACGAGAACTTCCGGTCAAAACAAAATGGCGACCCGCGTAGTTCGGCTCGATTCGAAAAGTTAAATAGCCGTAACATCTTTGTAGACAACCAAATTAATATACTTTTGTGTTTTAACATCATTTTTTAACTTTGTTTTGGTCAATTTGATCGCCCACACCGATAGACAGTATTCAGAAAGAGACAGAGAGAGAGGGGGGGGGGGGGAGGAGTAGATCTTGCGAGAACTTCCGGGCAAAACAAAATGGCGACCCGCGTAGTTCGGCTCGATTCGAACAGTGAAATAGCCATAGCATCTTTGAAGACGATCAAATTAGCTTACTTTTGTGCTATAACGTAATTTTTTCTTGGCTTTTATCAATTTGATCATCCACACCGATAGACAGTATTCCAAAATGAGGAAAAGCAGGTCTCGTTTCGCACTGGGTGAGAATAGCCTACGCTGGCAAGTCTCACCCGGGGTGAGAGGTAGATCGTTTTTCTATTCTATTCTCACCCCGGATGAGAATAGCAACTTCCTTTTTTTTTAATGTCAGGGGGGCAATCCCCCTTGCCTTGTGAAAAACAAGTGAAATTTTACTGCTCATTTTGTAGGCTAGATTTAGATCTAGATCTAGATCTAGATCTAGGCTACTGATAAAACATAAAACATTGATACCGACTATTTAAATCAGTATCGATATTTCAGTAGGTCTAGGCAAAGAGTCTAGAAAATCTACATAACAAGAGGGGCCACTCCTCTCTTTGAGCCAATTAAAAAAGTGTCCTCAAAATTCGGTGGCGCCCTCTTCACAAAAGCGCAACTTTTGCAAACAGAGTTTTTTTAAAAATCAAAGTGAAACTAGATCTAGATCTAGATCTAGATCTAGATCTAGATCTAGCAAGTTTTGGAATAAATTTCGGAAGAACGCTTTTTTAAAATGGTAAACGCTGACAAAAAACTTTTCCGGAGGAAAGGGTGATTGTTTTCTTCGTTTAATTTGACTTTAGAATGAAAGGCGATAGATCATTAAAAAAAAAAAAAACCCCTAAAACTCCACACTGAACGAACCCGAACTGCTGATGAACAGCAGCCGATCTGCGCACGCAAGGAGGTGCTATTCCTATTCTTCTTCTGCAAAAAAAAAAAGAGAGCTTCAAAACAGACTGCAGCGCCATCTGAAGCAAAGAGCGGACTTCTGGCGGAAAACTTTTTTGGCTGAGTGGCCCATCTTGTTATGTACTAGAATCTAGATTAGATCTAGATATTAGATCTAGATCTATCTTTGGTCTAGGCCTACACAAGTCGGGACCACCATATCCAAGTAGATCTAGAATCTAGATCTAAAATCTAGTGCCGTCAGTTCAGCCAACAACCCATCTGAGCCATCTCTAGATCTAGATCTAGAATCTAGATCTAGATCTAGATATAGATCTAGGCTATATTAGATCTACTGGATTCTAGATCTAAACTTTTTAGAGACGAACCGGACGCAGAAAGGAGGCCTGGATTTCTAGCCTCTAGGCCAAACCGGAGAGTCCTGGCTGCTAAACCACACCACGAACGAAATTATCAGAAGGCTGAGGAGAAGGCCTTGAGGTTAAATTAGCCTATCCATTATATTTCTCAGGTAAATCTAGATTAGATATCTAGATCTAGATCTACGCAACAAAATCAAAAGACTATAATCTAGACGTAGGTCTAACATACTCACTGATAACTTGTTTCAAAAGTAGAAGTGAAACTGAATTAGACTTCTCCAACCCCAACTTCCCTTGCCACCAGGAACTCAAAAACGCAATCGACGACAGAGGCAGGCCTCCTTCTCCTAAGTTCCTAACCTTAGGTCGTGCTCAGTCCGGGTTGATTTCCGGTGTCAACTTTTGTATTTCCTAGAACAGGATGCCAGGATGCTGCTTGGCCTTTTGCCTAGCCTACTAAGCACTGCGCTAGGCAGGCAATAGTCAATAAGTTTAAGTCATAGACATGGTTTAAGTGTAGAATTCTGTGGTAGGCCCCAGCCTTTTGCCTATCCATAGGCCTAGACTTGTAATTTCCAAGATGCGCATTGTGCATTCTGACGTAGGCTAGGGCCTACTTTCGGTTAGATAAAGCGCACTGTTTGACTCTAAATTTGTATTTGGACGTAGGCTAAATGAAGGGCATGGAGGAGGGAAACGTCGTGCACATAACCTACTTGATAAACTTGATTATAACCAGGCTAGTGTTTTGCCATTCCTTTACACTCCCATGGCGCGCTTCAGATCATTGAAGTTGAAGTATTTTTTTAATAGCGCACAAAGAGCGGAGGCCACGACAGTGTTCGATCTAGAATATTGAAGGCTACATGTAATTTAGCATAATTTACTGCAGTGGCGGGGCGCCATTGGTACAAGCGCTCCACCTAACCCTGGCCTTTCACCCACCCCCCCCCCCCCCCCCCTTTTCTAATAGTTCAAAACCAGTCAGTTCTCTAGATCTAGCCTACATACTGGCCTACATCCTTGCGACCCGTCACCCGCTGGCTGCGCGCGCTTCAGTGAAGAGACAGACAGCGAGGAGGGTTTATGCTCGCCGCACCGCTTGCGGTACTGTCTGCTGTGAGCAAGCAAAATCTTTGCACCAAAGTTATTTTGTCACTGTAGAGAAATCTAAGCTTCGTTCTCCCCGCACAAGAAGAAAGGTGCGTGAAACTGCTCTTCGCAGCAGCAATTTGGTGCAAGCTAAAAATTTGATCCAAGTTACCGCTAGCCTACTACTGTATCTACTACACTAGTAGAGTCTACGGTAACTCAATGAAGAATGGGTATCGAAACTTGTCGCCCTCTGTTGTGTAGCAAGTCCTGTTAAGGTAAATTTTCAAATTGAGTCTGGTTGTTGGTGCTGCACGAAGAAATTAGAAATCTTTAAATCTTCTCAGATTGCGAGCATAGTGAGTTGTTAGTATTGTTTCACTTTATTTAAGTTTTTATGCGGTTTCGTCTAGATTAGAAACAGTTGTAAATATCGATAGATGTAGATTACGGGATATCCTGCAGATTCTAACTGACTTTCTCTAGAAATATAGAGATGAAAAACATGTTGACCCTTTGCTTTTTGTACTATTCAGCAGGCTACAGCTAGAAGAGAAAGTGCGCATAAAAGAGCTTGGTCTCTCAGCCGCGGGATTTTGAGCTAAAAAAATGTTCACTTTTTTCCTGTCCGTAGTAGGCCTATGATAAGTAAAATAAATTGAACTGTTTCCATTACAAGTCTGCTTTTTACTGATCGATCAGACACTGACAAGGTTTGGTCATCAATCACACTCACTCTCTCTTTGCCTTTCTCTCTCTCTCTCTCTCTCTCTCTCTCTCTCTCTCTCTCTCTCTCTCTCTCTCTCTCTCTCTCTCTCTCTCTCTCTCTCTCTCTCTCTTACACACACACGCACACACACACACACACACACACACACACACACACGCGCTCGCAGAGGGAGAAAGACTCGCAGAAAGCAACAGAAAGAGGCGTAAAGAAGACAGAAAAAAGAAAACACACCAGAGCGCGCGCCACCGCGCAATAATAATTATATCAGAGAGGAGCCTATTGCCGCAGATGAATTTCAAATTATGCACCACCT